TGAAGAGGAAAACAAAATATTAAACCTAAAGATACAAAAAAAAAATCAATTGAGACGATCAATATTAAAATCTAATAATCTTCATAAAAAACAATTGTCTCTGTCGGATGAGATGTTTTACGCGGTGATAAAGGAGTGGTGAGCGAACCAAACAGTCTGACAGGCTTCTTCGCTATACAATTATGATTACATCGACAAACAAATTTTCCAAAAGAGAATATCTACTATACGTGACCACCGATAAACTAATCATAAAATAAATGCCGTGATGTTTTTTGTGCAATAAACAAAACGACCCCACATGTATGCGAAAAAATGCAAAAAAAAATATAAGGATCATGCCACAAGAACATAGAAAAACGTGTCACAATGACAGAGATCGACCAATATTGATTATAATGTTTTAATTTTTCAATAATTCTTCATATATATATATATATATATATATATATATTAAACCCTAAACTCTGGATTTTAAGATCCTAAACCACAACCCTTAACTCCATTAACTATATGAAATAATTTTTCTCATATACACTACCAGAATTAAATTCAAATATTTTATTTGTACTTCCCCATTTTGGAAAAAAAGGGGGAAGAGTTTGGTCAAGAAATGTGAAAGAATTTAAGGTCATGGACACAATTTGGTGCATGTCACATGGAGCAAACGTTGTGGTGACACTTTAGCCCCCTTTTGTTGTCACCCTTATCCCTGAAGCCAAGCATCTGGTTAAATAACAGTTGAGATCGATGCCTTTTTGGTTGCTTTGCTTTTAATCTTTGCCTCTCCAACAAGAGATGCTACGTGTGTGCATATATTTTTCATGTATCGTGGTAACGTTTGGCGAGTCTTGAAGGTGAATTTGAAGCATAGATGAAGCAATTACTAGCAAAAAAACAGCCTAGTTTCGTATAGCGGTGTAGGTGTTATTTATCATCCATATTTAGGGATCGTAATTTAATCCAAAATTAATGAGTTTTGACCTGATCCGACCCGATATAATTATTTTCCTTTTTAAATTAGGGTTTAGGTCAGAATGGGTCAGTTTTGGTGGAGGATGAAAAAAATTCCGACCTGAAGATAATAATATAATTTATTTTTTAAAAAATTATTATATTAATTAAGTAATTATTTTATATCAGATCGGGTCGGGTCAGATTTATATTAGAAAAACTACGATTGGATTGCAGTCAGCCAGTCAGGTGAAAGATATATATATTTTTGGTCAGGTTGGGTTGGGTGGGAGATATATAATTTTTTTTCCGAATCAAATTAACCAAAAACTCGACGTATTGTCATCCTTATCCATACTTCACCCCTTTAATGTTTATAATCTACTTGAATTCATTAAGTGATAAATGTAAATGTTATTCTTTTTAGATAACCCTTAAAATTATTAAAATTATGAGGGTTGTTTCGTAAAAATTTTGAATTGTGAGGGTGTGTTTGGTTCATGGAATGTAAGATTACCAGTGGGAATCAAAGATTACCAGGGAATAGGATTACTGGGAATGTTGTATTTTGTGTTTGGTTGGTTTAACAGGAATGTAAGATTACCGTGTTTGGTTAAAGGAATAAAAGATTATTGGAATATATATTTGACCAAATTGTCCTTATTATATATTTATTTTTTAACAAGTTGGAAAATATTTATATATTTTCTTTAAAAAAATCAATTTCATAAAATTTATATATATTTTTTACAAAATTGAAAATATAAAAAGGTTTAATGAAAGGGTAAAATTTTATTTTAACTCCTGAACTTCATATAAAATTTTAATTATAGATTTTTTTTTGTAAATCTAAAATAGTTTAAGGATAAATTTGTAATTTAACATTCGTAGAATTTTTATTATTCAATGACAGAATAAGCATATTTTTGGAAAAAATAAATTAAGGGTATTTTATTCAAAACGTCGGTAATCCAACAATACCTAAGGAAATGGAGGTGATGACATTCCCGGTAATATACCCCAAAAAATCTACTATTGGTAATGTAAGATTTCCGGGAATTACATTCTCGGCCAACCAAACGGGGAATGTGAATTTCATTCTATAGGAATCTCACATTCCCCCAGCCAAACACACCCTAATGTTTATAATCTACTTGAATTCATTAAGTGATAAATGTAAATGTTGTTCTTTTTAGATAATCGTTAAAATTATTAAAATTGTGAGGGTTGTTTCGTAAAAATTTCGAATTGTCATATATTTTATTTTTTATTGTATTTAATATTTATAATCTATTTATACCTCTTAAATTTTTTAAATTTTGTCAACTTATAAAATTTTAAAAATAAAATGTTAATATAAAATTATGCATACATCCCTATCTGATCACCTAAATTATTAAAATAATTAATCTAAATTCTTTCTAGATCCATATCAGTTATGAAATTAGTAAAACTAATTATATTAAAAAGTAATACCAATTCGATATTTAAATTTTGACGGAAATATATTTTATAGTCAATTATTAACCATTTTTAGAGAACGTCACAATAAAAGATGTGAATATTCCTCCTTTCCCATTCTTTAGCGCAAATAATGTGAACTCTTTATGTAAATTAATGTTAAATCTTATCGAATTCTGACTATTACAAATAGAGCAAATTTGATTAGAAAAGTCGATATTATTTGTGTAGTACTCTATCTAGATTAGTCGATCGATAGGATCTGATGCCCGTAGTTCAAAAAATTAATGTTAAATCTTAAAAATTCCATGCATACCCGTATCTTTTGGTTATGTTTTCATTTCTCCCCCAAAATTTTGAACAATTTGTACTTCGCTTTTGGAATAATTTGCGTTAGGTTTTACTCATCGCTACATATTTGTCTTTTGCTTTTAAAAAAACTTACAATGTTTTTTTACTTGGTCATCACACAGGTAAAACAAAAGAATTTTGGGTAAATTTCCTATGTGATATTTTATTTATTTTTGTGTTTTTGTTATATAACCATTGGTATCTGGTCTATTGATCGAATAATCCAGATCAGGTACTGCAAAAGCAAGGACGATCTCCCCAACCCAGTTTGGTCCATTCGCAATAGTCAAGATTCAAAACCCTGACCTTACTTAGAGATATATTGTCTCTTCTCACTAGACCAACTGGTTGTTTTGTGTTTTTATTTAATCATTTAATTATTTTTTACCCAAAATTAATAATTAGGCAATTTAAAGAGTGATATATTAAAATATAACTAAAATATAAAGTTGAATGTGATTTTGAAAAAATAATAATAAGTGGGTGATCATAATGGAAATTCAAAAATATATAGAATACCAAATAGGTAATTTAGCCTATAATTTATTTTATTACTATTGTAGACATAAGCGATTTATATTATCTATTTTGATCCGATCATGATTTATATCATCTTCATTTTATGTTTTTTTATTATTTATTTAAAACTATATTTTATTTTTAAATATATATTATACAATCTTATGGTATCTAAATTATAAGTATCAAAATGAACAAATTGTGGATAGTGTGGATTGTATTGTGATTCTCGTAGCGTTGGTTGCGTCCACGTTCTCTTGCATGAAAACTAGTAGTTCAGCTGCTTCAGCATTTATTGACCTCAATTGCTTGTTGAGTTATGTTTGGTCAAGTAAAATAAATTAGGGTAAAGTACAACAAATAGTCCCCGACTATGGGATACTATTTTATTAAATCTATTAACTATTAACAGTTATAAAATGATCCTCTGACTATGGAGAGTTGTTTTGTTGAGTCATCGGACTATTAAAAATTACAAAATTGTTACTCGACTATTCATTTTATTCCAGACTTGTCTTTTTCTGTTAAACATTTGCCTACAGTTCGAGTTTTACGTTAACGTACTGACTGAGATATGATAAAATTTGATTTCATAATCTCAAACGACCATCATATCTCAGTCAACATGTTAATGTCCAACTTATACAATCATTATTTTTTTAATGGAAAATGACAAACTTCGAACATAATAAATATTTAATTAACTATTTTGTAATTTTTTATAGTCGAGGGGCTCGACAAAAAAACTTTATATAGTCAGGGGATCATTTTATAACTTTTAATAATAAGTGACTCAATAGAATATTATCATACAATCGGGGATCGTTTGTATACTTTACCCGATAAATTATTAGGTTCTTTATATAAAGTATAATAAATAAAATACATTAGATTTAAAAGGTAACCTTTTTATATGTGTGTCGAATCAGATAAAGTAATATGACGTAAGTATAATATAATATATGTTTAAAGATAAATTTTTAAGGGCAATCGAGAAGTTGGACCGAGAAAACTAGTCCTTTTATTTGAAAATTGTACTTGTTCATTCGGTTCCTTTTCAACGATCCCCTATTTATACTTAAAGATAAACTAGTCCTTTCGATATAATCAATTTATTTATCATTTAAATTAACCCTGTTTTTAAAATAAATTTAATCTTTATACTCTAATTGTATAATAATTTTACTTGTTATATTATTTTATATTTAAATATTCTGATTCCATTACTTTACCAGTAATTATTGATCAGTATATATAAAAAAGTAAAAAAAATTACATGAATATAATATCGTAAAATAGTACATATCCAGTTCTTGGCCCATAGATCTTGATAGGTGATGTTGTGGGTAAAATTGGCTTAATAGGTTAGTGGGATAAAAAAATTGTCCATTAAATTATTTTTAAAGTTAATTTGGGATCTACGATATTTATTACAATGACTTGAATCCACGTCGATGTGATAAGTTATAAAAAAATATTATCTGAATAAACTCGATATATGGACTTGATGAATTTTTCTTGACTATAATATTTATCGTAGATTCGAAATTAACTTTAAAGATGATCTAATAAGCTAATTTTTTTTATCGGTATGACCTGTTTGGGCCAATTTTGCCGATGTCGTGGATTCTGGCCTCTGGGTTTATCGTGTGGTATCGAAACTTCAATCCCTGTTTTGAATAAAAACTTGGGCCAATCCGAGACGACCCAAACAAGCAGATTTTCCCAGTTTCCCATAGCGCAAGAAAAATGGGAAACAAAAGTAGAAGACGACCCATTTTTCCTCGTTAGATTCCAATCTGCTGCAGCTTATTTCTCACTCGATCTCTCCCTTATTTTTTCTCGTCTTGAATCGTAGCGGGTTTATTCTCAACCTCACATTTGTGTGTTTATATATGTATATATCGGTTTTAATATTTTAACCGGGAGAGTTTTTTGTTTTTACGCCTAGGGTTTATGTTTCGATTTGTCTTTTGGGCAAAGAAATTATCAACGAATGCATCGAATTTTCTGATTCAATCTCACTGTTTTGTAGAATTTGTAAGAACCGATCATGAAGCTTGACACCAGCGGTTTAGAATCGGCTGCGCCTGTCTGGGGTGCTCCGAGTGAGCTTGTTGATGGGTTTTCCGCCGCTCCGTCGTTCGAGGTCCCAAACACTACTGATGTGAGTTGAAGTTTTCTGCTAATTGGTAGCACTGCATTAATTTTCTTGGTAAATGTAGAGATTTACGCTTTATTTTATATTTGATCGGTGTGTTGCACAGTTTGATGGGTTTCAAAAAGAAGCTATTCAGATGGTGAAACCTGCTAAGGGTACCACCACGCTTGCCTTCATCTTTAAGGAAGGCGTCATGGTTGCTGCTGATTCTAGAGCTAGCATGGGAGGCTATATCTGTATGTTTTTTTTTTTTTTTTCATTATTTCTTTTTTGAAGTTGTTGATATTTTTTTCAGAAATTTCTTGCTCAGTAAAGAGTCTATTATTCATGGACATTGTAGATTATACCTTGAAATTATTATGATTTTTCTGGGATGGAAATGCTGAAACAAAGTATATTTTCCATTCCTTTTGGTAAAATTTGGCAGCTTCACAGTCGGTGAAGAAGATTATTGAAATCAATCCTTACATGCTTGGCACAATGGCTGGAGGAGCTGCTGACTGCCAGTTTTGGCACAGAAATTTAGGCATCAAGGTAATAGAACAAAAAAGTGCCCTCTTGTGTCAATGGGATAGCATCTTGGTCTTTTTCTCTTTTTGTGTTCGATATCTTATTGCGTGTTATATACTGTATATATTTGCATGTTGGATCTTATGTAAGGAATTGTAGAGAAAAAAAAAGTAGTCTATTGGTCATTTTGACATTCTCATATGTTGCGGTTTTCATTGATGCTCATATGTTGCAATTTTGTATAAAACATGGGGTTATACAATGTAGAAAGTGAGTATGATACTATATCTAGTTTTAGGTGGTTTTCTTTTTTCTTTTTTTGATAAGATTTTAGGTGGTTTTCTTCATTGGATCTATAATCTAACATCAATGTCATGTATATGAGAACAAATGTATTAGAAAAAAAGTTTGGTTTTTAGCATAGCTTACTAATAAACAAAGTAGTCTTAGTGCCCCTTCCAATGTGACTTACACACATAGATTAACCTTTTCAAGTTCTAACCACACGAAATTATTTGTATGATATTGATATTAAGACTATGTACGTAGTTGTGAAATGCCACTCATAGAGCATGTAGATTTTTAATATTAGTTTTTTTTAGTAGGAAGTATTCCAAATGAGTTCACCATTGCTTGGGTAGCTAAATATTGTGGCATTCTGTTTGCGTAATTGCCTTGCTATCAAAATGTAATATTGTAAAACGAAAGTGGAGCACTCGTGCAATACTGTGGTCTGTGCCTTTCCTTTGGTGCCAATATAACCCACAATGCAACCTTCCTGGCTTTCAATTAGTTGAGAAAAATCTTAGACCTCATTATTGTGTTTTTCTAATTATCCTTCTGTGCATGAAGTGCTAATGGACTATCATTTTCTACGATCTAGTGCCGGCTGCATGAATTAGCAAACAAGCGTAGAATTTCTGTTACGGGGGCATCAAAACTGTTGGCGAACATTCTCTACTCTTACAGAGGAATGGGACTGTCAGTTGGAACCATGATCGCTGGATGGGACGAAACGGTATTCAAAACTAAATTTTATTCTTTTCCCCGTTTTCCCCTTGCATTGTATTGCTTGCATGTTTGAACTATCTGCCTAACCTGGATTCTAGGGTCCTGGACTATACTATGTGGACAGTGAAGGGGGAAGGTTAAAAGGAATGCGTTTTTCTGTTGGATCTGGTTCACCATATGCTTATGGTGTGCTGGATAACGGGTATGCAATCTTCTCCATGTTTTTTCATTATCATCGTTCTTGATTAATGACAATATTATGACGTAAAGTTATCATGGTCTACTACTAGTAAAGTTATATTTTAAATTAAGTTCATGAAATGATAAGTTAGTTGTAGAAGCTACATGGTTGGCCAAGAAACTGTGAAGTTATCACGATCTCCTCCTTGTAAAGTCAGGTTTAAAATTATGTTTGTCAAATGATAGTCAGTTTAAGAAGCTACAAAGTTATCAGTCTTATTGTAAAGTTATATATTAATAGACAAGTCAGTGGAGAGGAACGCATTGAAGAAACCTGTCAAATGCTTTATTTTAATGTTTGGGCTCTATCTACTTCCAAGTGCTTCTGTTGAAAACATTTTTTACCTGCGGCTTTGATAATAAGCGTGCTTTGCTGCCTAATCATAATTTTTACCATAATATAATTCTATTCCAGTGAAATCTTTTTGATTTCCATGCTCAATGATAGTATCGCTGTTCCCGTAATTAATTCTATAACTTTGTTTGAGGGCATCAACTTTTCTAACCTTCTAGCATGTAAACCAACGAGTTTCCCTTTTCCTATTCCCATTTTATCAGATTATTCGCTACATTTTTATATTTGCCTCGATTTGTATGATCTGTATTCATACTCTTTTAATATCTTGTTTTGGATTGGTGCTAGCTATCGGTATGATATGTCTGTTGAAGAAGCTGCAGAGCTGGCCAGAAGAGCTATTTATCATGCCACGTTCCGTGATGGAGCCAGTGGTGGTGTTGCTAGCGGTATTCTCTCTCTCTCTCTCTCTCAAGTTGAAAAGATTTTTCTCAGTAACTGTTGTTTGAACACACTTAATTGAATTTAATATTTTATCAGTTTACTACGTGGGGCCAAATGGCTGGAAGAAGCTATCCGGTGACGATGTCGGAGAACTTCACTATAAATACTATCCGGTGATGCCGAGCACGGTGGAACAGGAAATGGTTGAAGTAGCCGCTGCATAAGTGGGATCTAATCAACTTGGGGCCAAGTTGAAGGTTCATAAGATCGGTCAGCGCGATATACTCTCTTATTTTTACGAAGCAGTTTCCTCAACTTCGCCTTGAAAGACAATTTGCTCATGGATCTGGGTGCAAAGTTAGTGTGATAAGAACTTTTCCCCTCAGTTTGAATTCAGTGATCTTCAGTTTGTTGTTTGGTGCTGAACATTTTAATCTGGTTTTAGTAAACTCCCAAGATTTTTATATTTATCCTTGTTTTTTAGGTTCCAAGCATTTTTTACGAGTGAAATAGAATGGTGAAAATTATATTTAACATTTAGTTTTTGTTTTGTTTTAGTATCTCGTTAAAATCTTAACATTAAAATTTGAAAAGAAAATGAAAGTTTAGGTACTAAAACGGATTAAAACTGATTAAGTTTTTGATGATGGGTACTAAAATAAAATAAAAATTAAATATTAGATATGGTTTTGAAAAAAATTAAAAGTTTAGGTATTAAAACAGATTAAAATTGATAGTTTATGTACTAAACATGTAATTTAACCTTAACTATAAATTGATTCGTTCATTGATCTAATTTTATAATAGTGAGCAATCCCTTATATTTTCGGCAACTAAATATGCTTATATTGTTTAACTTTTTATTCGTTAAACCCAACGATGAGATACATACATAAACGATGAGATACTAGATGGCTGGTTTTAAGAATGGAGAGACTAAATTTAAAAAAATTGAAGAATATAGGGACTTATAAGATCATTAACCTCAATTAAGAAAAAATGGTCCAATATCCATCATGATGGGCTGGGCTCAAAACGTAGGCTCCCCACCATTTTGGCACACCTACCTACTCACCGGCGTTCGCTCTGTAGCTCCATTTTTTCTCCAACCTCCATCGATCAGTGCAAGAAAATATCCCCTAATCTAAGATCTCACAACCATCGAGACCCTAGTCTGAGAATGTACGGCGGCGGTCGACGAAGCGCTCGGACCAGAGCCAAATCCTCCACTGATGTCAACGAAGACGATGACGCTTTCAATAAGCCTAAACCAACCTCTAAAGTCCGCAGAGTTAAAACCAAAGATCACGGAAACGCACTCCGAGTCCTCAACGCTGATCTTAAAATCATGCTAGGTATCGGCATCGTCTCGGCCTTAATTGTCTTCTTTTTTGTCAATCATCTCATTAGCTCAGCTGAAGAAGCTCGGAGACCTAGAGTCGTCACTCCGTTTCCAGCTCCCAAAATCATGGACTTGCCTCAGGTACTGTAGAAAATAAATTTCTATCTAATCATTCTTTTTAAATAAAGGTTTTTGAATTGCCGTTATGAATGTAAGTATATAGGAGTATTTTTATGTACGTATTTGGTAATGAAGGATTCGGTTTGTTGCAGTTTCAAGGCGAGCATAAGGAGAGCTTATACTGGGGAACTTATCGTCCTCATGTTTATTTTGGGATTCGCGCCAGGTACTCTCATATTTTAAATTTATAGAACTTTATATGTTTTCCCTTTCACTTTATAATTTGGAGCAGAGGAGATAAGTTCATATTTTTTTTGGGGAGCTAAACTATTGTGGTTGGGGGGTGTTAATTAGCAATCTGTAACTGGCAGGACACCTTGGTCATTAGTTGCTGGATTAATGTGGATTGGTATAAAGGATGGGAGGTATGTTATTCGACACGTTTGCCAAGATTCTGATGAGCTGAGCACATATGGTTGGACGAGTCATAATGGACGTGACTTTGGTCATCAAGTTCTGGTTGACCAGGATACGACTTTATCAACAAGTTTCTTGAAACATAAGGAGGATGGAAGTGGTTATGGAGGAGATTGGGCAGTTCGAATTAATGTACGAAGTCAAGGGTATGTTGTTTGATATGCTATTTTAGCTTTTGTGTTGTTAATTAGACATGTTAGACTTGGTGCTTTCTTTAAAAGAAGCCATGGGAAAATGTTGAAATTGATTTATGACGGGCCTATAAAAAGTTTGAATAACGGAATACATTTTAAATGATTTGACGATCAACTCTGTGACTTAACATTTTTAATGTTCTGTATCTTTGAATTTTATGTGTAGAATTCTTTCAGTCATTTAATGCATTGAAGATTGTATTTTCCCATATATATAGCATGCCCTTCACTCTAAGAATGAAATTTAATTTCATTATTCAGTAGTGTGAATGTAAAGCCTGGTAAACTACCGCTTAGAAATATTGCTTGTTCTCTACATCCTTCCATACACTCATAATTGCATGTTTATTGTCAATCTAGAATGACAAGGTATGCCTAGAAATATCTAAAGAATGCATTTATTTGCATGCAGAGCATGATGTTCAATTTTGAGTGTGGCATGGTTCACTATTCAAGTTCACTGTGCAATCAAGTTTATAATGTTTCATTTTACGTCTCTAGGTGGAATGACGAGATGCAGAGAAATGGGCATCTTTTTTTCTATTTGGCTGATGAAGATGGAAATGCTCTAAGTTTAGGTAGAGATAAATTGGACATTCTCGAGGATTCTCTCCTGGCATCAGGGTTGCGGACAGACATTGGAGAGTGGCAGCTACATCTAAAATCAAAGGTAAAGGGAAGTTGAGTGGCAGAGTTAGAAATCACAATGCTTCTATTTGAATGAAAATTTGATACCAAAGAGAAAATTAGTTCATATAGTAGGAAGCTCTCTTTGCCTACTTGCCATTCATGCTACCAAAGCAACTCAAATATTATTTTTGTTGGTTAGCATTTAGGAAGTGACTGACAAAATTTGCCCACTAATATAATTGGTCTTCTGTTGCTTCAAAATCATACTTTGCAGCAGTGCCTAATATTTTTACGGAATCACATGTGTTTGGTAGTTATGTTGCAGTTTGAATGTCTTGGATTCAAACTAAACAGTGTCTGAATTATATGGGTCAACTAGGCTAGCCTCTTTCTGAATGTTAACTTCCAAATAGCTAATATATTCCCGAGCTATTTCTTGAGCTAGTTATTGACTAATCGAAATTTCCCCTCTAACCTTCTCACCAATTGATTGTGAGAGTTCAATATCTGTTTTTTTTTTTGGGTACTGTTATAAGTTTACAATTTAGGGGGAGGGGGATGCAATTCACAATGTCTGAACCCTGGATGTTGGGTGCAACACCAAGTGGCTTAGCCACTACACCAAATGGGTATTTGCGTTCAAGATCTAGATTTTGTTATGTAAAATAATGGTCTTCAATAAATTTTTGTTTTTCACAAGTTTTTACTTGTTAGTTGATAGTGATTTGCGGCCAACATTTTTTGTTCTTCTTTTGTAGGCTGATCTGGAAGTACATTATTCTGGTTTGAGGACACCCCATATCTACAATTTGTCAGATCTTGTCCAAGAAAACCTTGCGTCCCAAGTATGTCAGATTTTCATATGCATCCTATATTTTTCAGTTGTTGGAGACAGTTTTTTTTAATAACTTGTCTTCACCCTTGCTTCTTTTGCCTTTTACTAGTTAATAAGATTTAATCGGCTGCAGCTACCTGATATCTACCAGAGTTCTTCTAACATTTTAGTGTTTCAGGTAATATCATGTACGCAATGAATACTACTACACTTGAAATGTTCACATTCTTGATGTTAGCGTTGATTTGACTTTCTTGCCTACAACATCCTTGGTTTTCATTTTTTATGCAGATTTCTGGAAGGATTCCACTGGAAACAGATTTTGTTTTTGTATCTGGAACTGGTAAGAATTCAAGAGTAGAAGAACGCATAAACAATTTTGCAGGTGTCTCATTGACCAATCAACTAAACAAGAAACAAAGAGAATTTGATGCTAAATTTGCGAATTGCTTTAAGCTTGCTGACAAGGTATTGATTCTTGTGAAGTAACTCTTCCACATATTCTGTGGTTCTTCACATTTTATTACTTGTTCTTTTAACTCTGCTGCCTCTGCATCATTTTCTTTCCTAATTTTTCTTGCTGCCAGTTTATTATCCCTTCTGGTCACTTTTGATCATGTATGGTAGGAAACGATCCCCCCCCCCTTATGCATCAGTCTTTGTAGCTTAATTGGAAAAGGGAAGTCTTGGTAGTTGATAGATTTCTTTGTCAACTATTTTGGAACTCAACTGATCAAACTATCATATCCTCTCTTTTTGAAGATAAGTTTGATTTTGCGTGGTGTCATTATGGCTATTAAGGATCAAAAAATGCTTGATAGGATACCCTCTTCTTGGCATTCAACATGATCTTAGTAGACAATAAGAGTTGTTTTTCTTTTCCTTCGTTTTATATTTTGTCTGCATTGTGCTGTTAATTTTGCTCTTCTAGTAACGCTGATGTTGTAGCATTGCACTTGCAGCTTGATTCTAATTCCATTCATGTGGGCAAGGCTGCTATTGGAAATATGTTGGGTGGCATAGGTTACTTCTATGGCCAATCAAAAATATCAGTTCCCAAAAATTCTAATGTGAGTTACTTGCAATTTGTTTTATTATTATTAGTTTTTTCTGGTCATTCTAGTCATTACATTTTTTGGGAATAATTCACGTTTTGCTTTATCCCTATCTCCCTAATCCATTCCCTAAGAAGTTAGATAATTTGCTATTTTCAGTTGACTTTTAGTTCATTAATAGTTTTTTAAGAGCCAGATATTCGGTAAGCATCTGGGAGTATGGTTACATGATTCTGAGGGAGCGCCAAATGTATGTTTGCTTGGCCCTAAGTAACAACCTTTTGGCAAGAATTTCTCTTTCCAAAATGCTTCCTGAGGTTGCAGCAGTCATATAATAGCAGTCATATAATGTCTTTCTTTGTCAAGTCCTTTAACAGTACAATCCTATACGATAGCATTTGGCTAATCTTCCTTTAGGATCTCTTCTGTTCTTCTTATTTGAGAATCTATTGGGGATTTATTGTCCAAGAGAATGGAATACCTAGACCAGGAAACTTTAGTGATTAGATTCTAGACTCTTGCTGTTTGTTAACCTGGTCCATGTTGTTAGTTTGTAGGTGTCTATTCTGTGCTATTTCCCCCTTTTACCTAGCTATGCTTAACTCTATTAAGAAAAAGGGAAAAAAATACTAGAGCTTGTACTTATCATAAACTGTCATTTATACTGTGAAACAAAGCAATACAGTGGGATAACATATCTTGCAGGTTAAAAGTCATGATGATTTTCTTCTATATTGGCCAGCTGAGCTATACACAGCTGTTCCAAGTCGACCATTCTTTCCAAGGGGATTTCTCTGGGATGAAGGTTTTCATCAAC